AAAACAAACCGAATCGATACCACAAAACACAAATCAAAATCCCATTAAAGCGATCCAAACCAGACATGATTTCCTGTTCTTCAAATAAACGTCCCAAAAGAGATGACGCTTTCACAAACAACAAAGCCACTCTACTGGATTTGAATTTGCCACCTGATTTCATCGACTAGAACTGAAGAACTCAAACTCAATCTCTTTTCTGTTTTATCCAAATGATATGACAGAGCAAAAGGGATCGGTTGGCTCTATCTCCTTGAAGATTTAGTCTTTTTTGTCTTTCTTTATATAGCTTTTTGGGGTTTCATAGACAGTTTTCCTTTGCTTATTTAGTTCTAGACTTTTATTTACATAGTTCTCCGATTAAGGAAGCCTATCAACTCTGGTGCTTCTTCTCAATGCCTTTTGAGGTGTAAATTTGCATGCCAACAGAATTTATTATTAGTCGCTAATGTAATAGGTCGGTCTTCTCCAGTTTATGTATATACAATCTCAGCTTTTATCCTTCTGATTCCATCAATTTAAGTTTTTGAAACAGACATAAATATTTGCAGACTGTAAGATGGATTTCGATCAAGTTTTTCAAATCAAGCTCAAATAGTCTTACAAACAACCCTAAAGTTACATAAAACAAGCAAGAGAAGTTATATTTAGGAGTTTACAAACCAAGCAGAAATCATAAAGATGAGGTAACACTGTCAGTCCATGGGTGTTTTAATTAACGGCAATTTAGTTATTTTAGAAAAGTTTTATAAAATCAGCATTAATTCTCAAATATCTAATGACTACTTAAATTTCGAAAAAAACATTTGATCATCACTTTCCTCGCTAATTAAAATTATATCCCCAAATTAATCCTCAAAACCACAATAATAAATAAACATATGACATCACCAAAGATTCAAAGATGCATATATTGCTTAGTTGGATTTCGCTTTAGTCACTTTTTTTTCTGTCCCAGCAATTTTAGTTCTTAATTATCATAATCCGACTCAAACCAATCAAATAAGTGATTCGTAATTGAAAATTCTCAAACAAAACGTTTTTATCCCAATACCATTATAGTATATGTTACTATTTCTCATGATAAACAGTGACAACACCATTGAAAAAAAAACTCACAAACACACATAAAATTGTCTTAAGTCAGGTAAGTAAAAAGCCTCGAGTTTCATAAATCAAGCCTCGAGTTGGCTTCCTTCAACATCAACCACAAACCTATAACGCACATCGTTCTTCTCAAGTCTCTCAAACGCAGTGTTCACATAATCCATCTTCACAACTTCAATCATCGAACTCAAATTCTTTTCTTTACAGAATTCAAGCATCTCCTCTGTTTCCTTGATGCTCCCTATGAAGCTTCCCGTTATCACTTTCCTCCCTAATTATAATCATTGCCCCAAATTAGTCTTCAAAACCACAAAAATAAATAATTCAATTAGTGTTTTGGTTTATAATGGACTCACCAAGCATAACCATAGGACTGAGAAACTGTAAGGGATTGTTGATAACTCCCATGAGAATGAGTTTTCCATCAAGCCTAAGCAGAGCCAAATAAGGCTCAAGTGCATGATGAACAGGGACAGTGTCGATTATGTAATCTAAAGAATCAGCCAATTCGTTCATTTTCGATTGGTCTGATCCGATCACGTAATCATCGGCTCCAAGATCTTTCAAAGCTTCTTCTTTCTTCTTGTTTGATGAGCTTATGACTGTCACATGGTGACCCATTGCTTTGGCTATTTTCACACCCATGTGACCAACTCCACCTAACCCTAGTATGCCTCCTCTTAGGCCTGGTCGCTTTAGCCCGAAATGGCTCAGTGGACTGTACACTGTCACACCGGCGCATAGTAGCGGTGCAGCCTGCTCAACTGGCACTCCTTCTGGAATCTTCACCACAAACCTGAACACAAATCAACCCTTTAGCCATACATACCCTAACTTCGTTCCCAAGATACTGAAATTTAAAGATTTGATTTGATGGTCGATTATAATATAAAAATGAAAATTAAATACTAGGTTCCTCTTCTGTATTTTATCTAACAGAGAATTTCAAGAAGATTTTTAAAATCTTTAGCAGTACTTAGTATTTAAAAATTGTTAGTTGAATAACACCAAGCTTATGCATTGAATTTCAACTAAAATATTCAAATAACAGACCAAACGGCACAAGATTATATTATGAAGATCACGAGTTCTCTGTTATATAGAAAATCATAAAGCTAG